CACGTGGGCTCCCTCCTCCCCACACCTGACCACCTGTGCTCCACTGGAGACTGACATCACAGCTCCCCGGGGCCACACCCGGTCGTCACCACCGCGAGCGACACCTGAGCGCCTCTGAGGCCTGAGCGCCCAGCGGGCTGAGCAGGGCCGGCTGTCTGGAGATGGGCCGGAGAAGACGCTGCCCCCACCGCCCGAGTCGTGGGGTCCTGGCAGCGCTGCAGGGCCCATCTCCCGCGAGAGGCCGAGGGCGGGCAGCAAGTTTGTCCTCCCCGCACCTGACGTGTCCCCGGAGGAGCAGCCCAGCGCCTCCCGGGCACACGGGGCGGAGGCCCCAGGAGCGGTCACATGGGGGTGTCCTCAGAAGGCCGCCCTCAGGCTCTGATGGAGGGGCTGCCCGGCCCCACCGCTCAGGGTCCGGGTCCGCCGGCGGGCAGGGTGGACAGTGCGCCCTGCCCCGTGGCCAGCAGCCACTCCAGGCCATCGGCAGGCGGTGAGCAGGCCCTGACCCCGGGCCTCCCACCCACATGCCCAGCCGTGCCCAGATAACCCCAGGAAGCCAGCAGACGCCCCTCGGAGCTGTTTGCAGTGGGTCGTCTGGAATCTTCCCCAAAGACTGATCTCGTCCCGGGAGCAGACCTGAGTCCTGGCCTCAGGCACCCAGTGTAGACGCACACACCGCACCTGCTTCAGGCTCACGGCCTGCAACGCCCATTTATCAATAAGCAGAAATTACCTCCTTGATAAATGAGGACTCCTAAAGAACTTTTCACTGTTTCCATTAATTCTGGAGGAGAAAACCCTCCCCCACTTTTAAGGCAACTTCTTAATGTAAACAAAGTGCTCAATTAGACAATTTTTGAGCTATTGAAAATGAATTCTGCTTTAAAAGAACAAATAGTCACAATATTAAAATTCACAGCATTTCTAATACATCAACTAATTCTTCCATCATACTCTTAGAAAAATGGATTCACATAACTTATTAATGCGCCACCTCCAACTTCATTCATAAATAAGTCATTGCATCTCAAGCCCCATTTGATGGATCGGAAAGGTTGTGAGAGCTCCATGCTCTAGGAAAGCGGGGGGTAAAAAGGGGCCGTGGCATCTCAGGACCAATGTGGACTTTTGTAGGAGTTACGTTCCATGCCACCCCATCAGAGACCATCATCCTCTTCCTGGGTCAAGGGCTCTGTCCGTGGGTGTAGCCTCGGCCATTCCTGGCAGCAGCCCAGGCTGTGGGACACACTCCGACCTTTCTGAGGAGGAGTCACAGACAGGACATCGCTCTAGAGGTGGCATGACAGCTCCAGTTGTAAACCTGACCTCTGCACGCCCGACCTCTGCCCACCCGACCTCTGCCCACCCGACCTCTTCCTGGCCTCTTCCCAGGACCCTGCTCTGGTCACCCCCTTTGGAGGGAGGTCCCTGTCCCAGGCCGTGGAGGTCTCCCCTCCTGGCCCCCTCGATCGCACACGGGACGTTGCCAGTGCAATTCTGGGACTGAAAGCAGACGCGCCAAGGACCACCTCGGCTCTCACGTCCCCTCACCCTCCAGTCACTCCTCTGGGGGCCAGCCAGTCCAGGTCAGGGGCTCCATCCATGGGTGTAGCCTCGGCCATTCCCGGCTGTAGCCCAGGCTGCGGGACACACTCTGGCGTTTCCACGGAGGCGTCACAGAGAAGAGAGGAGGTTGCAGCCCGCCAGGAACAGGGGGTGGCCTGTAATCCCCAAGATTAGCGGGAGTCTCGCTGCACTGATGCTGCCCGGGCAGGTGTGTCCCCTGTGCCCCCGTCATCTGTCTCGGCCGCCCCTGGTCGCGCCCGACGTCCACAGCTCCACCACCCCCACCACTGGGGTTCGACCGGTCTGTCCCTGGTGGTGGCATGCGCAGCCTCGGCCTGGACCAAAGGCCCCTCCCTCACGGCCCGAGGGCTCCGCCTCCTGCCCCCTGGGGCCCTCTCCTCCCGGCCAACCCACCATCCATCCAGGCCCCTGCATGTCCCTGAGTCACCTGCACAGGTTCCCTGTGACGGGGGCCTGGTCAGGTCACAGGTGACCCTGGATGGGCTGTTCTGTCCAGAGCCCAGAGGAGCACCCCCACGCCAGGAGCTGCACCCCGAGAGACGACGGCATGGTCCACACAGGCGCCAGCCCCGCCCCACCCCCCGCCAGGCTCTGAGCTCCACCGGATGGTCTGCACTCTGGCCACCCGGCCAGCCCCCAGCTCCGCCACAAGCTCCAACAGGCACGGGGGTCTCTGGGGCCCTGGGAGAACTGGGGTGAGGCTGGCCCCCGCCCCCAGGCAGGCATCAGAGAAACATGACCACCCCTCCCCGGGCAGCGGCCCCCCATACACAGATCCACGCCCGCCCTCGGGGAGTGTGGGGGCGTGGGCCACCCCGGCCCTGGCTGGGCGCGGAGGCCGCTCAGAGGGGTGGGCGGGGACAGAGTCTGCTGCCTCCGGCCGGGGAAGGACCCAGCTCCTCTTCAGAAGCTAAATCCGCCGTCTCCTCTGTGACTTCTGGACTGCACTCCCACCCCAGGCTTTGTGAAAGTCTCCTCCAGCTCTTTAATGTCTCAGCAGGGCCGCTGTGGCTCAGCTTCTCTCTGTGACTGTGCCGTGGGGACCAGCCCAGATAATCACTCTCACACGGCCCAGCCATCTTTATCCCCTCAGGTCAGAAGGCCCCTCGCTGAGGCCGACCACATCCCCGTGGACGTGGGGCTCGAGGCCACCTGGATTAGAGCCCAGCATACCCTTCCCACGCGGCGAGTCGGCTCACTGGGAAAGACCCCGATGCTGGGGAAGGTCGGAGGCGGGAGGAGGAGGGGAGACGGAGGATGAGACGGCTGGGCGGCATCACCGACTCAATGGACATGGGTTTGAGCAAACTCCAAGAGATGGTGAAGGACAGGGAGGCCTGGGGCGCTGCAGTCCCTGGGGTCACAAAGTGTCGGACACGGCTGAGCGCCTCAACAACAGCAGCAATGCCCTCCCACCCACCCTACCCCCGAATCTCCTGCTTAAAATCCTTCCCAACTCCTGACCTCCCCTCTCCAACGCCCTCTGGGCCTCCATCCCAGGTCAGGGGGGAAAACAGCCAGACCCACAGGTGAAGGGCACAGCCCAGGGCAAGGGCTCCCCAGGGGCCGGACTGCCAAGGACCCCCTCAACACACTTCACCATCCATCTGGCACAGTCGGGGTCACCCAGTGAAAGGACAGGAGTCCCAGACCTCAGTTACCATGGGGAGACATGATAGAGAATGAATGAAAGTAAAATAATCTCTTGTCCTCTTCTAATCCTCAACTGATCGAATGCGTAAGAGTTTGTTCAAAAACCCAATAGCGGCGGCTGCGTGTTTGGTGGTTGTGGAGTTGGGATAAGTGAGGCAGGTGGCACGGGTCGTAAGCGGGGACTGGGGACATCCCCGCTGCAGGCGCCTGCACCCCCCAGGAAGTGGGGAGGGCTGTGCGGAGTGGACCTGTGTTCCCGGTGAACGGATGTTGCAAACTCCAGCCTGCCAGTGCGCGCTAAGGTGCTCAGCCGTATCCGGCTCTTTGTGACCCCAGGCACTGTAGCCCACCAGGCTCCTCTGAGCATGGAATTCTCCAGGCAAAAACACTGAAGTGGGTTGCCATGCCCTCTTCCAGGGGATCTTCCTCCAGATCCAGGGATCAAACCCAAGTCTTAGTCTCCCGCATTGGCAGGCAGGTCCTTCACCACCAGCACCACCTCAGAGGGCGTCCCCGGTGGCTCAGCTGGTAAAGAATCCGCCTGCAATGCAGGAGACCTGGGTTCAATCCCTGGGTTGGGAAGATCCCCTGGAGAAGGGAACGGCTACCCTCTCCAGTATTCTGGCCTGGAGAATTTCATGAAAGCCCATTGCAAACTCTAGTGCAACCACCAAGAAGTTTAAAAAAAAAAAGTGCATTAAGATGTGTAAGAGAGGAGAGAAAGTGGAGTCACGTGAAATGCTGTTAAAAGCAGAGCCGAGAGAAGGAAAGAGAAAGATCCCAAAAGAAGCCAGAAGGAAGCGGGTCACGAGCAGGGAGGAGGGCGGGGTGGGCGCCCCCACGTCAGTAAACCTGCGGGTCCAAGTTCACCAAGGCCACCCAGGCAGAAGCCCGGGGGCCAAGGGGTCAAGACATGACGCCCAGCCCCACTTCTTCCCAGAGCCCCCACTAGGAGAGGAGGCAGTGAGGACATGGCCCCCTCCCCACACCCAGCAGGGCCCATGAGAGGCCCTGGACAGTTCCTTGGCCTCCAACCTCCCTGCCCAGTGTCCTGAGGCCACCGACCCCCGGCCAACAAGGGGCCAGCCTGGGGAGAGGGCGCCCAGACCCTCTGTTCCCTGAGGGTCTGAACCAGGCGCTGCTCACCTGGGCCTGAGCGCCCGGGAGCAGCACAGGCCACGACAAGGGCCCCGGAGGCCCCGTGGCCGCCTCCAGCCTCCCCACCACCCGCCCGGGGGAAGCCGGCCTAGGGGTGCTGCTCTTTGCTCCCCAAGCCCAGTGTCCTTGGAATGAGCAGCCCTGGAAGATAATCAAAGGAAATATGCCGCTGGTCGGGGCCCAGCTTCCCTCCTGCAGACAAACAGGTGAGGTTCAGAGCAGGGCCTGAGGGCTTCGCCCCCAGTGAGAGGCTCGTGTACCCACGTCCAGGACCAAAGCGGGGGTCCGGCTCCGGGCGCAGTGGGGCCGTGAGCTGGGGGCGTCCGCCCGCATGGAAGGCCTGCCGGCCCCCAGCACCTTCCGCGCCCTCGACCCCGAGCAGCTCCGGCTCCTGCAGACGCGTCCAGGCTGGGGGCTCCTCGGGACGTTGGGGCAGAGCCTCAGCCGCAGCCCCCGGGTCGAGGCCAGGAGGGTCTTCCCTGCTGGGATGCAGGCGAAGGACCGTCGTCGAGAAACAGCGGATCCAGCGTCACCCAGGGCGCCGGCCACAGACGCAGTCACGTCGCAAGGCAGAGACGCGCTGTTCGCTTGTTTACCCGGCCTTAACTCAGGACCCCCGAGCCCTGGATCAACCGCAGGTTCCGCGGATCACGGCGCGAGAGGAAAAGCAAAGTCAGGGCGGCAACGCGGGCAACACGGGGGCACAGCGCCACCTGCAGACGGTGCGGCGCCTCGGCAGGGCCCCGGGTCCAGGGGCCGGAGCGTCTGCCCCCAGGGAAGGGCAGGGGGCTGCCTCGGTCAGGAAACCCCCGAATCCTCTGCAAGGGGGAAACTCTGAATAAGAGCTTCTATCTAGCAGAACGTGGTTTTAACTGCCTTTGAAGAGCAGCTCAGCTGACGGCCGATTTCAGGCTCAGAGGTGAGCTCCCGGCTGGCCTGGGGGGCTCACAGCCTAGAAGTGCCCCCAAGGCCCCGGGACCCCCACCTGAGCTGCTTCCGGTCGGGGGGGTCCACCCTGGCTCCCACCTCAGCTGTAACGCCCCCCGCCCCGCCGCACGCCCAGACCAGCAAACGCGAGCGGACCACTGCTGACCCACCGCGGCCCGGGCTCCTGCAGGAGGGGCCCAGCTGGGGGGCTGCGGGCACAGCTCCCACTCACACGTGAGGACCACGAACACAGCCCCCGAGTCCCCTTGCGAGGGAGCGAGGCTGAGGTCGCCCGGAAGGCACAGGCTCCCCACATCCTGCCCCACCCCCAAACGTGCCCTCGGCTGCAGCAGCCCGAGCTTCCTGACAGCAGTCTGGCCTGGGGCGCGGGAAGCCGACACAGGGCAGGACCCGCCGCCCACTCACTGTCCTCCCAGAAAGCAGAGGGTGCCGGGGGCCCAGACCCCCACCCGCTGTCCCAGAGGATACGCCTGGGCCCTGGTAGCCCCCACCCCACCACAGAGACCCCCGTCTGCAGCGTAGCCCCCTCGCCCTGCCCCTGAGGCCTGCAGCATTCCAGGTCAACTCCAGGGCCCACCCTCTTTCTGCCTGACAGCTGCTGCATCCACACCCCTCAAGGGGCCCGAGGGAGACCCTCACCCTGACCGGCCCCAGGAGGAAAGCTGACCGCTGAGCGTGTCCGCCCAGGACTGTCCGTCCTGCAGTGAATGCGCAGAGGAGGGGAGGGGAGCTCCCGACAGACCCCTGGACACCCAGGGCCGCCCCCCCCCACCCCCCGTGCAGGCAGGAGCCCCGGCCCGTCTCGCAGAGTCCGTGAGCCCAGGCTGTGTCCCTGCAGGACTCAGCGGCCTCCCTTCCTGGCAATCCCCCCCGCAAGCGCCCCCCAACCCAGTGGCCCGACCCCCGCCCGGGCACCAGGGGCTCAGACACCTGGAAATGGGGGAAATAAATTCAGAGGTTAAAGCGGGGGACACTGGTCTCAGGGAGCAAACTCACTTTCAGTTTCCCGAATGGCTCCATTTATTACCTACTGAGAGTTTATTTGAATCTCTAGTGGTTTGAAAATTTCTCTACTTCCCTGTTTATCAAGAAACACGATTCCCAACCAGAGTGGCTCCAAGCTTTCAGGCCGAGCTCATATTTCACTGGACCTGCAGGAGTAGGGGGCGCCCAGACCACCAGACCCCCCAGCTTCCAGAAGCTCTGTGGGGCCTCCTCACCACCCGGGGACACAGTGTCCCCAGGCCCCCCACCCCGAGGTGAGCAGGCTCCGGGACCATGGCCCACTCTGGACCTCTGCCCCCTGCCCACCCCCTCCCCGGTCTGGGTGTGAGCCCCCTGGGGCATCTGGCTGGGGGTCTGTAGATGTGCGCTCCCCGCGTCTCCATGTTCCAAACAGCCTGTGCAGAATGCAAGCATCCCGTCCTCCCACAGCTCATGAGCAGACTTCCCATCACCTCTGATCTCTAATCAGCACAGAGAGGGGCAGCGACTTGCCCGAGGCCACACAGCCCTCCAGCAGCAGCCTGGCTCCAGAACCAGCTTCCCAACGGTCCCCTGAACTGCCCCGGGCTATGCAGCCACGGGCCGAGCTCTGGGCGGGGAGAAGGCCTGAAGGTCGCAGCCCCTGCCGAGAGCTGCCAGCAAGGATTGGGTGCGGACGCGGCAGGCGCAGGGGGACGCAGCGGGTGGGATGGGGCCGGGTGGAGGCTCCAGGAGGGGAGAGATGGAGGACAAGCCTGGAGGTGCATGGGGACCCAGAGGGCGAGCTCTCAGGGCTTGAGAGCCGCAGAATTGGTGATAGGGGACTCTGGAATGGCAGAGCCTGGGCCGTGCGAGAAGGGGGGCCCCCCGTGGAGCAGCCCGAGTCGGAGGTTCTGCCCGAGCTGTTCTGACCCCAGCGTTGCGCTAACCCTGGCGCTGGCGGGAAACGAGGCTTTGGGTTGTAATAAATTGAAAACAAAACTTAAAGCTCCAGCCCCCTGGGTAAAGTTTTCCTCGGAGTTAATTTCCAAGATAAATTGTTTTGGAATTGTGTGGTCCATCTCCCTAAGCCCCTACTGTTTCTCTGATTAGACATTTTCATCTAAATGGACCTGGAGTCTGAATGGCACCTCCATCCCACCCGTATTGACATCTGCCAGGGCCGCTGGCTTATGGGGAAAGTATGAATTCCTCGCCGATGGCTTTGCTCAAATTGAGCTGTGTTCCCAGCGAAATTAGATGAGGCCCTGGGCTGTCTGGGGGACGTTCACTCAGCTCGGGGTTTAGGGAGCGACAGGGCTGCAGCAGGAGGGGGCAGGGAAGGCAGACGCCCTCCTTCGGGAGGAGGGAAGGGGAGGGGGGCCCAGGGACGAGCGCCCGGCTCCCGCCACCCTGGGGAGCCCAGGACAGGCTTGTGGGTGCCCCCATGTGCAGGCTGGCCCGCCCCACAGACTGGCTTCCTGCAGCCACAGGCCTCGTCGGAGGGGCTGCTCTGAGAACGTTTTCTTTAAGGTAACAATTCCTCCGTGAGACAGGAACCCACCAGCTGACCAGCAAAATCTGTACAGAAGCTGGGTGCCCAGCATCCCGCCAGCGGGTGGACAAGGGCTCCAGGGAGGTGGTCTCAGAAGAACCTCTTCTGCACCTGGAGGGGTGAACCGCCGACCTGGCAGGATTCCAGGAAGCTTAGGGGCCAAAGGTCACATCTTCCCAAAGGACCTCATCAGCACAGAGAACCAGCGTGTGGTGACCAGGGGCCAGGCGCACATGGGGGCACCCACCCAGCCTCCCACCACACGTCTGGGCAGCTGAGCGGCAGGAACACCGACGCGGCCTCCGGCTGGGAGTCGGAAGCTACGCACAGTTCCAAGGCTCTGAGAAGTTCCTCGGGGTCCGGAGCACCTCCCAGGTTTCACTGTTAATGAAAAACAAAAGGAGGGGGGATGGGAGAGGGAAGTAACAACACTGACGCAGGTCAGATCCATGACCAGGGACACAAACCGGGACTCGGGGCTCGAAGCACAGACTGGCTGCCGCTCACCAGCCCACCTGAGCGACGGACACGCAGGGGGATGGTGCCGCCCGCATCACTCCCTGCAAAGCCTGACCCTGGCTGGTCCCTGCGAGTCCCACCCGGCACAGACAGCCGAGCGTGTGGTTGTGTCTGACGGTCAGAAGAGGAGTCAGCCTCGAGCACGGGAGTGCAGCAGAGAGTGGGTAACGCGGGGCTGCAAGTGAAGTGAGGACCAAGTAAACACACGGAGTCACGGAGAAGACGGCCAGAGGATGTGCACGCAGCAGCCGGGGAGACGCCGGACGTGCGGCCGCAGGGGCCAGCAGGGCAACTCGGCCAGGAGGAAAGGGTGTGGTGAGAAGGACAGGTCCAGAGCGAGTGGTGCCTGCAGCACCCTCCGCCTCAGAGGAACTCAGAGACCTCCCGGCACGGGAAGAACCACAGACACAAGCCTGGCAGCTGGTCGCGGCTGAGAGAAGGGACCACGGCTCCCCGGGGGGCCCGGGACCCAGGTCATGGGACTGGGCTGGGGGGCTGGCTGCCCCAGGCAGGCTGGGCTTGGTGAGTTTATTAGGACAGAAACTACCTCAATTCTCAAGGTGTCCAGTGTTTTAAATTAATTACCGTGAACTGAACTGCTTTCTCTTTCCTTATACGTGGTAACCAAGAGGAAAACTGAAGGAGTCTTTTGGGCCTAGGAAAGAGAACAACAGTCTCAAAGGCCCTTGCTGAATCATCTAACTGCGGAGAAAACAAAGCATAACTTTAGTTCCATCCCGATGCTCCAGGCCAACTGCATCTATCTGGGACTTATCACCCCCTGTCCGGACACCTACCGCCCCCTCCACCCGCCCGGAAGACTCATCACCCCCTGCCCGACTGCAAGTGTCATCTCAACAGAGGAATACTCAAAATATCCCGCCTGATTGACGTTCCCCTTATCGCTTCCACAAACCTCCCTGTAAGTATGAAGCCTCCCTGATCCCTCTCAGCGCTCAGCCTGGTCGTCAGGCCGACTTCGCCCCTCCTTGCCTGAATAAAGGTAACCTACTTTTGTTGAGGTCATCTTTCCTTTTCTGCCTCGCCGAACTATACCCTACAAAAACAGTGTTTAAAGTTTTGACAGAAAGTCATTTGCTCAGTTCTGGCCCATGAGAAACAGCCGTGTCTTACGCTCTTGTGTTGCATGCAAAGTGTGGACGGCTCCCGGCCAGCACACGGCTCGTGCGTCAGCCTCCGTGCAAGGGTTTGACATTCATTTCCCACTGGAAGCTCAAAACAGTCTCAGAGGAATCCTGACCGTCCCCAATTCACAGATGAATAAACTGAGGCAGGAGAGCTGAGGCAGGGGCAGCAGACACACTGGAGGCCTGGGGAGCGGCAGACGCCCGAGGTCTCTCCTGCGCACGTCTCCGGGTGGGCCGCCCACACCTGAGTGGGGCTCCCGGGCCCTGGTCCCGAGCTTGTTCTCCGAATATTCGTGCCTGACACCCTGCCCTCGGCACCCTTCAGCCAGAACAAGGGTCCAACAGGACGCAGTTCAGAGGCACAGAGACCTCCCCTGTGCACACAGGCCACGGGGCCGTCAGAATCTCACCACTGGTTTGAGATTAGACCCTCAAATGAGACCACAGCTCTGCACACGAGATTCCATCCACGGAGTGACTTGGTTGACTTCCCGCGTCACAGCCGTCCCTTCTTGGAACTTTCAAAGTAGGACTTTGCGATGGATTTGAGGACAGAAAGGACCCGTGTGGGGACGCCGTCTCTGCGACAGGGAAACCGAGGCTCCGCCTGAGACAGCCCGCCTTGTACCACGTCCCATCTGTTCTAGAATCTCCCAGCTGGCTCCAAGGACAGAGTCCTCCTCTCAGCCCTGCGGGAAACAGAAAGTTCAGAAAGATCAGAAGTCAATTAAAATAAGAATATGTTGTTTTGAGGGGACTTCCCTAGTGGTCCAGCGGTTAAGACTGCACTTCCAAGGCAGGGATTTCAGTGTCAACCTCTGGTTAGGCAACTAAGATCCCACATGTGAGATGCCAAAAAACTAATAAACGATTATCACTGTCACCCCAGCTTCCCTCCCCCACAGCGAAAAGGGTGTGCTGACCAGTGTCTCAGAGTCACTAGACAAGACTGGCTTTGACCTGCTCCCAGCCCCAAGATCCCTCCTCAGCCTGCCCCGTGCAGACCCCGCTTCCTGGGCACAGGGGCCTCTCGGACACACCTCCTGCCCCAGACCCTACCCTCTGACACACCTCCTGCCCCAGACCCTACTCTCTGACACACCTCCTGCCCCAGACCCTACTCTCTGACACACCTCCTGCCCCAGACCCTACTCTCTGACACACCTCCTGCCCCAGTCCCCACTCTTGGGCTCACGTCCTGCCCCGTACCCCACTCTCAGGTTCACCTCCCGCCCCAGACCCACTCTCGGGCTCACCTCCCGCCCCAGACCCACTCTCGGGCTCACCTCCCGCCCCAGACCCACTCTCGGGCTCACCTCCCGCCCCTGGCCCACTCTCGGGCTCACCTCCTGCCCCGTACCCCACTCTCGGGCTCACCTGCCCCAGACCCACTCGGGCTCACCTCCCGCCCCAGACCCACTCTCGGGCTCACCTCCCGCCCCAGACCCACTCTCGGGCTCACCTCCCGCCCCAGACCCACTCGGGCTCACCTCCCGCCCCTGGCCCACTCGGGCTCACCTCCCGCCCCTGGCCCACCCCGGGGCCCCAGGCGCGGCCCCACCCAGCCTCCTCCACCTCCCTGCTGCTTCCCCTTCCTCTCTGTTCTCAGCTCTCCCTAATCACCTGAACCTTTCCTCCTCTAGGAAGTCCCCCTGGCCTGCACCTCCCCAGCCAGGCTCCCTTCTGTGGCTGAGATCCTGCCATGGGCTGGGGGGCGGGAGGAGGGTCTCGGCGCTCCCCGGGGGCACCACCACGTATCTGTCTTCAGCCCCCCACACTCAGCTTCTGGGCAAGGAAGACGGCTGGACAGGCGCTTCCAGGGCCACCCCCTGCGCGGGCGGCTCTCTCCTCTCGCCTCCCTGGGCTCTGCCTCCTCTCGGGGTCCATCGGTGCCCAGAATAAACCGTGCCCCATTCTTGGAGGCTGGGCGGTCCACCCTCAGAGGACCCCCGGTGGACTTGTAAACAACAGAACAGCTGCCGCAGAGCCGCGGGGAGCGGTCAGCCGAGGCCGATGGCCGCTGGGCGTCAGGTCCAGCTCGCCCCTGGGCCGGCCCGTGGTGCGTGCTGCAGCCGGAAGTCTCCGATGGGCGCTGGGGAAGCTCCTGAGTGGCCGAAGGCACGAGGCAGGCCCGCGGGTCACCCCGCCCCGGCCGAGGACGCCCTTGTCCACATGTCCCCCCGGCCATGGCACCCGAGCTTGGCTGCCATCCAGCGGGACTGTGTGAGCCAAGCGCGCCTCGCTTATTCAATTGCATCCGTAACTCTGAGTTAATCTGCTCTGTAATTGGGTTTTGCAGGTGACGCTTGAGATCATTGGATTTACAGGGTCTGTGTTCTGTCTCCAGCCTGCTGTCACCAACACTCACGGGGGCTTCACCCACCTGCCCCTCAGCCCCCATGCCAAGGCCAGCGGGGCTCCGAGCCAAGGCTTTCAGAGGGTCACAAAGCTGGTGGAGCCCCCGGGCGGCTCCAGTACTTCCTCTCACGGCCTCCTGTCCCCCGGCCCTGGCAGATCCCACTCCTGGGCTCTGCAGGTGCCCCAGGCCTCCAAGACGTGCAGCTTCTCTGCCCCAGCTCTCCCAGGGCATCTGGTCTGCAGGGCTCGGGGATCCCTCTGCCAGTGACCCCACCTTTGCCCACCTGGCCGAGCCCAGAGCCCTGGCCTGTGACCCGGGCAAGAAGCATGGGCGCAGTCCTCAGGCACACAACCATGCAGCTCCCAGGCTGGGTCTCTCCCACCTCCCCGCTTCCGCTGGGCCTCGTCCCTTGTCTCCACACCCAGGCCCGGCACCACCCTCAGCTGCCCCCGACTCCCAGCACCCGACCCCCACCGCCTCATTCAGCATTTACCCACCCAGCCTGGACTTGTCTTCGGGGCCTGTGATGCTGGCCCTGAGGCAACCACCCAGGGGAGCAGAGGGTGGCGGGCGCGGGCGGAGGGCTGGCATCTGGAGCTCCCCGGTGCTACCCCCTCTGGTGCCCACTCTGGACACAGGGCTGATCGAGGTGAAGAGAGACAGCAGGAAAGCAGGGGGCAGGATTCAGGCTCAGAGACACGGAACGAGAGGGACCTCCAGGCCAGAAGGCTCAGGCTTCGAGCTGGAACCGGGGGGCGGGCGGAGGCCTCTGGGGGGCAGCAGGGAGCCTGTCCCCGGGGAAGAGCCCCCCTCCCCAAGCTGGGTTCACACTCCCCTGAGCTTAAAACCAGAACCACGGAGCGCACGTGCTCCTGGCCACGAGGCGGCCCCCCAGGGTGGCCGCGCCAAGCAGGTCCCTGCGCCCCTGCCCTGTGCCCTATGCGGACGCCTCACGGGTGGGACCAGCCCTGTGCCCTATGCGGACGCCTCACGGATGGGACCCTGCCCTGTGCCCTATGCGGAGGCCTCACGGGTGGGACCAGCCCTGTGTCCTATGCGGACGCCTCACGGATGGGACCAGCCCTGTGCCCTATGCGGATGCCTCACGGGTGGGACCAGCCCTGTGCCCTATGCAGACGCCTCACAGATGGGACCAGTCCTGTGCCCTATGCGGACGCCTCACGGGTGAGACCAGCCCTGTGCCCTATGCGGACGCCTCAGGGATGGGACCAGCCCTGTGCCCTATGCGGACGCCTCACAGATAGGACCAGCCCTGTGCCCTATGCGGAGGCCTCACGGGTGGGACCAGCCCTGTGCCCTATGCGGACGCCTCACGGGTGGGACCAGCCCTGTGCCCTATGCGGACGCCTCACGGATGGGACCCTGCCCTGTGCCCTATGCGGACGCCTCACGGATGGGACCCTGCCCTGGGCCCTATGCGGACGCCTCACGGGTGGGACCAGCCCTGTGCCCTATGCGGACGCCTCACGGGTGAGACCAGCCCTGTGCCCTATGCGGACGCCTCACGGGTGGGACCAGCCCTGTGCCCTATGCGGACGCCTCACAGATGGGACCAGCCCTGTGCCCTATGCGGACGTCTCACGGATGTGACCCTGCCCTGTGCCCTATGCGGACGCCTCACGGATGGGACCAGCCCTGTGCCCTATGCGGACGCCTCACGGGTGAGACCAGCCCTGTGCCCTATGCGGACGCCTCACGGGTGGGACCAGCCCTGCGCCCGATGCGGACGCCTCACGGGTGGGACCAGCCCTGTGCCCGATGCGGACGTCTCACAGATGGGACCAGCCCTGTGCCCTATGCGGACGCCTCACGGGTGGGACCAGCCCTGTGCCCTATGCGGACGCCTCACAGATGGGACCAGCCCTGTGCCCTATGCGGACGTCTCACGGATGTGACCCTGCCCTGTGCCCTATGCGGACGCCTCACGGATGGGACCAGCCCTGTGCCCTATGCGGACGCCTCACGGGTGAGACCAGCCCTGTGCCCTATGCGGACGCCTCACGGGTGGGACCAGCCCTGTGCCCGATGCGGACGCCTCACGGGTGGGACCAGCCCTGTGCCCGATGCGGACGTCTCACAGATGGGACCAGCCCTGTGCCCTATGCGGACGCCTCACGGGTGAGACCAGCCCTGTGCCCTATGCGGACGCCTCACGGGTGGGACCAGCCCTGTGCCCGATGCGGACGCCTCACGGGTGAGACCAGCCCTGTGCCCTATGCGGACGCCTCACGGGTGAGACCAGCCCTGTGCCCTATGCGGACGCCTCACGGGTGAGACCAGCCCTGTGCCCTATGCGGACGCCTCACGGGTGGGACCAGCCCTGTGCCCTATGCGGACGCCTCACAGATGGGACCAGCCCTGTGCCCTATGCGGACGCCTCACGGGTGAGACCAGCCCTGTGCCCTATGCGGACGCCTCACGGGTGGGACCAGCCCTGTGCCCTATGCGGACGCCTCACAGGTGGGACCAGCCCTGTGCCCTATGCGGACGTCTCACGGATGTGACCCTGCCCTGTGCCCTATGCGGACGCCTCACGGATGGGACCAGCCCTGTGCCCTATGCGGACGCCTCACGGGTGAGACCAGCCCTGTGCCCTATGCGGACGCCTCACGGGTGAGACCAGCCCTGTGCCCTATGCGGACGCCTCACGGGTGGGACCAGCCCTGTGCCCGATGCGGACGCCTCACGGGTGGGACCAGCCCTGTGCCCGATGCGGACGTCTCACAGATGGGACCAGCCCTGTGCCCTATGCGGACGCCTCACGGGTGAGACCAGCCCTGTGCCCTATGCGGACGCCTCACGGGTGGGACCAGCCCTGTGCCCGATGCGGACGCCTCACGGGTGAGACCAGCCCTGTGCCCGATGCGGACGCCTCACGGGTGAGACCAGCCCTGTGCCCTATGCGGACGCCTCACGGGTGGGACCAGCCCTGTGCCCGATGCGGACGCCTCACGGGTGGGACCAGCCCTGTGCCCGATGCGGACGTCTCACAGATGGGACCAGCCCTGTGCCCTATGCGGACGCCTCACGGGTGAGACCAGCCCTGTGCCCTATGCGGACGCCTCACGGGTGGGACCAGCCCTGTGCCCGATGCGGACGCCTCACGGGTGGGACCAGCCCTGTGCCCGATGCGGACGCCTCACGGGTGGGACCAGCCCTGTGCCCGATGCGGACGTCTCACAGATGGGACCAGCCCTGTGCCCTATGCGGACGCCTCACGGGTGAGACCAGCCCTGTGCCCTATGCGGACGCCTCACGGGTGGGACCAGCCCTGTGCCCGATGCGGACGCCTCACGGGTGAGACCAGCCCTGTGCCCTATGCGGACGCCTCACGGGTGAGACCAGCCCTGTGCCCTATGCGGACGCCTCACGGGTGAGACCAGCCCTGTGCCCTATGCGGACGCCTCACGGGTGGGACCAGCCCTGTGCCCGATGCGGACGCCTCACGGGTGGGACCAGCCCTGTGCCCGATGCGGACGTCTCACAGATGGGACCAGCCCTGTGCCCTATGCGGACGCCTCACGGGTGAGACCAGCCCTGTGCCCTATGCGGACGCCTCACGGGTGGGACCAGCCCTGTGCCCTATGCGGACGCCTCACAGGTGGGACCAGCCCTGTGCCCTATGCGGACGCCTCACGGGTGGGACCAGCCCTGTGCCCTATGCGGACGCCTCACGGGTGAGACCAGCCCTGTGCCCTATGCGGACGCCTCACGGGTGAGACCAGCCCTGTGCCCTATGCGGACGCCTCACGGGTGGGACCAGCCCTGTGCCCGATGCGGACGCCTCACGGGTGGGACCAGCCCTGTGCCCGATGCGGACGTCTCACAGATGGGACCAGCCCTGTGCCCTATGCGGACGCCTCACGGGTGAGACCAGCCCTGTGCCCTATGCGGACGCCTCACGGGTGGGACCTGCCCTGTGCCCTATGCGGACGCCTCACGGGTGGGACCAGCCCTGTGCCCTATGCGGACGCCTCACGGGTGGGACCAGCCCTCGGACGTGACGTCACTGTCTCCTCTCGGGCCAGACCTCTGCCCAGTGGGGGAGGTTTACCCGCTTCTAGTTCCTCTGTTTATCTATCTTACCCCTTTCCCCTATTTCTATCAAGTTATTATTGTTGTTGCCACCAATTATCTTGGAAATTGGTGGGCTGGCTTCGGTAACTACAGAGGTTGCCCTTCATTGGATGTTCTGCAAATCTATTTGCCCCTCGGCTTCTTTCGAGGCCGTTGGTTACGATGCATTTCTCACAGACTTTTGGTTGCTTGCTTTACATCCATATATGCAGGTCTGTTCCTTTTGCCCCAACTTCAGAACCACGTCCTGCTCAGGAAGGCCCCCACTTCACACCCCACACATTCTCCCTCCTCTGGGGAGCAGCAAGACCCCGCCTGGCCAGCTCCACAAAGCACGCTCCTCCCAGAGGGTTTGGGTCAAGACCTGCTACTTGACGTTATTCTCTAATCACAGGTCCAGTGGGCCCGAACCGCGTATTAAACAATCCAGTCCATCCCCTCATTCGAAACGCACTATTGATTATACACTAAATCCCCATCTATTCATCCCCGACACCTTCAATCCAATCCTATTGACCAAGAAAGCTGCATGCGGTCTGACTGATGAGAGAAGGGGGAGAACTGAAGGAAGCACCTTCCTGGAGGATGCACTGGGCCAGAGCAGGTGTGATGGGCCAGGGTGGATGCTCTGGACCAGGGCGGGTGTGATGGAACAGGGAGGGCACTGTCCAGCGGGGCAGCGGCCCACGTGTGGTCCAGGGACCTCTCAGGGACCTCGGACAGGGAGGCTCCACCCAGCAACCTGGGACAAAAGGAACAGCTTAGGCAGGCTCCTAAGCTGACACTCGGGGTCCCTCCCGGAGGCGCAGGGGCCTGGGGGCCTGCTGAGGCCCCCCGGGTGCCCAGGGTCCACTGCTGGGTCAGTCAGCACCTCGCCAGGCTCCCTTCTAGGACCTGGAAAAAACGGACAGGAGACCCTGAAGACGGAGCCCTCCTGCCAGCCTTGGGCCAGGCTCCCAGGCTCCCGCCTCCCCACAGCCAGGCCCCTGCAAACCTGGCCCCACGTGAACAGACATGGGAGGTAGAAAATATTGGGGGTGAGACAGTCTACAAGGATGTATTACACAACACGGGGAATATAGCCAGTAGTTTGTAATAACCATAAATGAAGTGTAACCTTTAAAAACAGTATA